CAAAAGGGACATCGTGAATATTCATGGTTAAAATTATTCGGATAATAAAATTCTCATTCTTATTTCAATTTTGGTTATGCAGCCGGGAGTCGCGTGAATAGGGTCTAAAGGCCGCACGGTTGGACACACTGGTGAACTAGAGGATCAAGAGGTTACGCGCGTAGTTTGGCTAGGAAACCTCGAAACGTTGAGTGAATTGTAAAACGTTGAGCGTGGATTTTTTTCCTCGAGGTACGCGGACGCGCGGGACAAACGAATGTTTTACAGAAGAGCCGTGTCCTTTTACCCAAAGGGTAGCCGGTTACATTTCAGACACAAATTACACGCTCGACTCAGCGTGTTCTTTATCGAGCGTTAAAGACTCGTGCACAGCGGTGTGTAACGGTAGAACGGAGAGACACGAGCGCGCCGTACCAGAGCCGTGTGTATGTAGCCGTGTGCTAGTCGCTGCTCCGAGCCGAGTCTCGCTTTTGTAAATTTTCGCAAGTTAGCCATAACAGCGCACCGGCGAGTAATCTCGGTCGACGATAATTCAACGGGCGAGTGACTTTAATCGCGGCCCCTACGAGCCGCTGTGCGGCTCGTGATGGATTTAAACGATCGTATGACAAAGTAGCGAACCGTGTATCATTTTATATAAACTCGGTTGCTCGTACGATGGTGACGGAGAATCGGAGAGGAAGAGAGAAAGTGGAGATTGTATAATCTTCGTCGTGAGAGAGTTAAATCGCGTGCGCGCGTGTGGGTGCACTTGCCGCCTCTTCTCTGCCAGGTCTCTCTCAGCACACGTTCACACGTGCGTGTGCACACTCGCGCACCGCCGGGTTTACGATCGATCTTTCACGTCGCGAGCAACTGGTAATAAAGTTGGATGTGGAACAACCGACTGTCACCACGTTCGCAAAACTTCCGCGCGACGTGTGGTGCGAGAGTCTTCGAAACCGCTTCTGAGAGCTTAACGCGACGACATCGATACACGGTCCTTCGTATAAACCGTATATTCTACCTTTCATCCGTCATTGTTTCGATTATGCATTCTGCTCGTGGTTTTTTTTTTTTTTTTTTTGGTAGAACTTTTCTCAATCGGTCGAACTAGTTTCGCCTAGCCATGCAAATTTGGAGCGATATTCGCATTTAATTTTGCAGCACTTTTTTTCCGCTATTCGTCGATGGGAATTTTTGTCGAAAGTATTCGAGAGTCAAGTATTTGAAAGATTTTTTTTTTTTTTTTTTAATGAAAAGTGTGAATTTTTCTCGGAGCGTAGAACTGAGATTGTTGATTGGAGGACGATTAATTACTGCAAAAAAAAAAAATATATATTCGATCGAACACACACGCGTGTAATTGTTCCTCGTCGATCGTGAGTCGAAGGCGGAGGCGGATGGACAGATGAAAGGGACCGCAGAAGGTTGGCGTGGCTTCGCGGTTGATTAAACCGAAACGCGACCACGAGGCAGGTACCTACCTTCTGGGTGAGTGAACGCGTGCGAGGGGAGCCCGGTGTGCCGTGTGTACATACGTATCTGCCAAGGGAAGATGGCGCCGTCACCGAAATGGCTGCACCTTCGCGTTGATAAAACGCGGGAAGCCCGTGGAACCATACCTGTGAAAGGTGTGCGTCGACGATATAGGGCTGCCAAGGGGTGGGGAAAGGGACATAGGAAGAGGTGGTGGTAACGCGAGAACGACAGAGAGGGGAAAAAAAAAGAAGTCGGATATCACCCCTAGTTACGAGCGGTAACGAGGGGCGGAGTCGCACGAGCTCTCGCACACCTGCTTTCGTTTCGAAGCTGGCTATGGTCACTCACCCCCGTTCTTATCCCTCTTAAAGGCTACGCCATGACAAACGCGTTTACGTTAACCGCCGTACGGCCGCCGAGGGTCGCGAGAAATGGCCGTTTCAACGGGCTTTAATGGTTGATTCGCTCGGATCGTTTCCTCAAGTGGGAGAGGGTGGCGTTGTATCCTCTTGTTCGCAGAATTGCAAGGGTCAAGCGAGATTGTCTTGTCCGGGAGAGCGAGAGAGACCTATTGCCACTTTGGACTCGATTTATCGGATTAAACCTGCGTATCTGACTCTTTCGCTCCAGATTACTCGGCAGAGTTTATTCGGGGAGAGAGAGAGAGAGAGAGAGGGAGAATATTTGCGCGGATGGCAATTATTCGAGTTGAAATGGAGTATTTAGAGGGGGCTGCTGGGTAGGACGGTTCAGGGGAAGAAGCAGATAAAGTCATTGTGACGTCTGGAGGCAGATTGCCTCGACGCGTTCGATGCGTTGGCTCGCGTGAGGGGGTGCGAGAAACGGGAACAAAGGCGCGACGTTGAAACGGGGAAACAGCGGAGGACAGACCGATTAGCAATCGCCATGGAAACAAGCAGTTGATGCGATCAACCCCTGACGCGCGAGAAGAGGAAAGAGGCCGATCCACGGTGTGCGCGTACGATCATAGCTGTGCCTATATGCGCGTATATAATACGATTTGTATATAGATATAAGCGACAGGTCTCTATATGCGAGAATGGGCACGGAAATGGGAATGGGAACGGGAACGGTTCGGCACGCATACACAGCGGCCGTATTTAAAGCGGTCGACGAAATGCCCCTCGGTGTGTGCGTACGCGCGATGGTTGTACGGCGATACCGGGGGCCAAGCGAGAGACAGATTGGAAGAGAAGAGCGTTGCAGAGAAGAGCGAGGCGTCGTGTGGAAAGGGAAGGAAAAAGTTGGATGGGTATGCTGTGTGGCGCACACGAGAAAAAGGAAACAGAGAGAAACGAACGGTCGAAAGGAGAAAAAGAGAGAGAGAAAGGAGGAGGAGGGAGAGGAGACGGATGGACGCGGAAGAGGCGGAGAGATAGAGGCTCCGACAAACGCACGGGGGGTTGAGACCGGCGGTGGTAGCTGGCAGGGAGACGGCGGAATCGGTAGAAAGCAGCAGCAGTTCCCGCTCTCCGGAGCGGCTGACTGTTATCATGAGAAACAAGCTTCCACTCTGATTTTTTAATCCGATCCGCACCCCCTGCCACCGGCTGAATTTTAAAATAACTGCAGAACGCCATTTGCTTCTCGCAAACAGACCGGGGTTAAGCCATCCTCGCCTCCCTTTCTCTCTCATTCTCTCTCGCCACTTTTCTATCTTCCTGTTCCTCTCTGTTTTACCGGTACGGCCCACCTCCTCTCAACCTTCCGTCTCTTCCAGCTTTTCCCGCTCTGTTGCCGCTCTTCCCGTTCTTCCCGTTCGTCGTCTCGACTCTTTCGCTCTCTTTGCGCGCGTGCACGAGCCCTCGACCCTCGACGCTTTTCCTGAATGGATAGGATAGGATAGGATAGGACAGGACGCAGGGATACGATAGCGTGGAACAACGAGGATGCAGCGAGACAGTATTCTGAGAGAAGAAAGACGAGTGTATGTGCGAGCAGTCCGTACACCTCTACATCGTCGTCGGGAGAGACGGCTGTGTGATGTCAAATTGAAATGTTTAGCGCCCCGTTTCAGCTGCTGCGGATCCCGCGTACAGACTTGGGTACAGCGCAGCAATGCGAGAGAAAAAGAGGGAGAAAGAGAGAGAGAGAGAGAGAAATGGACCGCGAAGAGAACAATCGGCACGGAAAGATAGGGGCGAAAGGAAGATAGAAGAGACGGCAGATAGCGCGTGTAGGCCTGCCCCGGGGAAGGGCAGATAAGTGACAGTTTTATTAATTTCCCATCTCATCCCGTCGCGACTGTATTCCCCTCAACCCGCCCGATCCGTCGACACCAGCAGCAACGTCAGTCGCGCATCCACACACGTACTTCCCTTTCCACCCCGTCTTTCTCTCAGTTCACTGGAACTGGCGAACAGGCTGAAAATAAAGCTCAATAATGGCGGCTGCCCGTCACGGGCATCGCCGTCGAGACGAAGGTGCGTTTTCGCGTCGATTTCAATGGGATTTTTCCATCAACGTTACGCGTTCGTATGAATTTTCTAGCCGATATAGAAATATTCTAAATTATTTTTTGAAAAAAAATAGAAAGATAGATAGATAGATAGATAGATAGAGAGAGAGAGAGAGAGAGAGAGAGAGAGAGAGAGAGAGAGAGAGAGAGAGGAGAAAGAAAGAGTTAAAATCTCTTGGGAAAACGCGTATGTCCAGTTTTACGTCGGAGGAGGGCAAATAAAGAAACGCAGGACGGAAGACCGCAACGTCGGGAAAGGATGTCGAGATGACGCGCGGCGAAGGGGAATGGAACAAGGGAAAAAAGCCAAGAGCTCGGCTGAGAGAGGGAGAAAGAAGAAGGGAGTGAGCATCTCCCAGCCGCGCGCGCTCGCCGCTGGAAAATTTAATTTCGATCCCGTCGATTCAGCAGTTATACCAAAGTTTAATCTTTGATAAGGGTTAGTCTTTTAGTAATGGGATCCCAGGGGCTCGGTCGCTGCGGACGGTTCGAGCGAGAGAGGCCAGCCGCGCGCCGGGGGGTGGGGTGAGACGAAACGAGAGTCGCGCGCTCCTTCTCTCTCGCGGTTTCCTCTCCACTCTCCGCTCCTCTACGACCGGGATGGAAGGCAGGAGCTTAAACCGTTAGATAAAGATCTGCTCTCGGGATGAAAGTAGTAGCTACCCGCTTATATCGTTCCTCTAACCGAGCAGGACTCGGACTTTTATACCGAGTACCGGGGGAAGGCGTAACGAGCCTCACGATTGGATAAGTTTCCCGACACGAGCTTCCACCAGCGGCTTTGCTTGCCATCTTCTTCTCTACTACTTCTTCTTCTTCTTCTTCCTCGTTTCTTCTCTCGTGCTTCCGCTCCCCCCTCCGCTACTACTGTCCCCCTGCCTCACGATGTGGTGTCCCTCGATTCGATCGGTACGACGTATGTACGCGCGATTAACATCGGAGGATTTAACGAACCGTCTCGAATGTTTTCGGTATCGTCGCCTCGCAGAAGCTGGAAAGGCGTTGCCTTTCCTTTCGGAAAACGGGAAGTTCAACAGCCGCCTGATTTACTCTGTTTCAGTTACGGGATGGATCTTAACGGTGCCCGGCGAAAAAACGCGACGCGGGAAACCACGAGCACGCTGAAGGCCTGGCTGAACGAGCATAAGAAGAATCCGTATCCAACGAAGGGCGAGAAGATCATGTTGGCCATCATAACGAAGATGACGTTGACCCAAGTGTCCACGTGGTTCGCGAACGCGCGGAGACGCCTGAAGAAGGAGAACAAGATGACGTGGGAGCCGAGGAACAGGGTCGAAGACGAGGACAACAACAACGAGGACGACGACAGCGGAAGAAAGAGCGTGGACGAGAAAGACCGGCTAGGTAAGCGGCGTAGCAAACATCCGTCGTCCACCACCCACCTTCCTCTTTGCCTTATCAACTTTGTTCCTCTACTCCCTTTCCTTTCCTTTTCTATCGACGACGAAACGCCATCTCACCTTTGCCCTTTCATTGCCCAAAAACGAGTCCCATTCTCTGCCACAGACTCAAAGGACTCGGGTACCGGATCGAGCGAAGACGGAGAGCGACCGGCGCATCGGATGGACCTTTTGGGCACCAGCGCTGGATCCACCGGTGTCCAAGGTAGAACCGAGAGCGAATGGAGCGAGTCGCGAGCCGACAGCGGCCCCGATAGCCCGGAGTGCCTCTACGACCAGAGAGAGCCGAGGCATCCGTTGCAGCTTCAGCATCCGGCGTACCTCGCGTCCTCGCACGGTCGACTGTTGCGCCACCCGTCCCCGGAAAGCACACCACCCAGTAGTCATCATCTTCCGCCGACCACGACGACCGCCTCGTCCACCGGCAGCGGGGTCGTCACCACGAAGCCGAGGATCTGGTCCCTAGCCGACATGGCGAGCAAGGATGGTGATCAGCAGAGTCCAACACCGACCACGATGACTGGCCTCTCGTCTCCTTACAGCGGAAGCGGTGGCGGCGGCGGTGGTGGAGGAGGGGTTGCTAGCGGAGGCGGGAAGCTGATGAGCCCTCTGGCCAGTCGTTTGCCACCTCATCACCCTCTGCACCCCGCAATGCACACCGGAACGCAATTCGTTCGGCATCCGGATTTCTATCGGAACCTGTACGGCGCCTCTCACCTTGGAACCGGGGACATGTCCTTGCTGGAGACTTACTCGAGGACCTTGGGCGGCCTGAGCGGGGTGATGCCTCCGTCCACCGCCCCCAGCATACTGACATCCTCCTCGTCAGCCGTGTCAGCCAGTGGTAACGTTAAACCTTTCTCGATCAACGGGGGCAGCGGTGGCCCCGGTGGAGGCGGCGTGCTTCTCACCACCGCTGCTTCAGGCCTCTCCCCGTCGTCGTCGTCGACCGCGTCCTCCGGTGGGTCGGATCAGTCGCCCCACCCGAGCGGAAGCCTACCGTCCACGCAGGAGCTCAAGTCACCGGGTCGAGTGTGATTTTTTACCTGCGCGGGGACGATGGACTAATTATTGCTATTATCATTATTATTATCATTATTATTAACGAGGAAGTTTCGAGGAACGGGATCGCCGCGCAGCCGGGTCCGTGCGGCGTCGTGTGGTGTGGATGACAATAATAATCAGAGACTACAACCTTGTAATTAGTGTACAGTAACTGAACGAACAACGTCGGGACGAGATATATGATATATACTGCCCCCCAAATCCCTGGTCTCTCTCTTTCTCTTTCTCTCTTTTTCTCTCCATGTTCCTAGTCTCTGTTTCTCCCTCTCTCTCTCTCTCTCTCTCTCTCTCTCTCTCTCATTCTCCGTCTTTTTCGTTTTTCCCCTCTCCTCCTTGGACTAGATCCTCTGCTACGTACTCCTGTCCCCCTTTACTACTTGATTCCTGCTGTCTCTCTCTTTCTCTCTCTCTCTCTCTCTCTCTCTCTCTCTCTCTCTCTCTCTCTATCTCTCTATCTCTCTATCTCGTCCGTTGTCGCGCGAGCTCTCCTTCTGTCGTCGACGAGAACGGGACAAGGGAGAAAGAAAAGATTGGAAATCGATCGACGATCGAGGTGGAAAAAAAAAAAGTTGTAGGCCCCGTGTTTATTCTCTTCCGTGTAGAGCAGCAGCAGCGCAGCTAACCGCGGTTTAAAAGGAAAATAAGACAAAAAGAAAAAAAAAGAAAAGAAAGAAAACGAAGAAAAAAGATACACTCTATCCTAGGCGTGTCGTCTACTATGACAGTAATTATATACATAAAGAATACTATATATATAAATACACGATAACGATTAATAATTATTTATGCGTTTGTAAATAGTAGAGAGGGCCCAGTAGAGAGCGTCCGGCCAGTGTATGTATTGTATGTAGAGTAGGTACGATATTATTATAATATTGGAGATCATAATTCATACTAATGATGACGACGATTATTATTATTATTATTATTATTATTATTATTATTAATTATTATTACGATTAATTATTATCATTATGGATTATTATTATTATGGATTATTATTATTGTTATCGCAATGTTTATAACATTATCGATTCACATCGACTCGGTCGATCATGACGAGGTATGGATCGTTGATCACAGTGACAGATTACGGAGGACGCGCGGAGCGCAAGAAAAATACCGCGCGAGATAAACCACGTTGGAGGCGTGCGCGTCTTGCGCCTGAGTTTCTCCGTTCGTAAGTATTATTTATTTATTAGCCCGAGGGCGCTTTCACGCCACCGTCAACACCGGAGAAATCGTCGCAGATTGTGATAATACGTGCTAAATCGACGATACATCGTTCGTGACGCGTTTCCGTCTTTCCCTTTTTTTTCTTTTTTTTTTTTGTTTTTGTTTTTGTTTTCCTTTTCCCTCTTTCGTTTCTTTCCTCTTCTTTTACTTGTTTCTTGCCTCTGATATTCTCTCAACGCGCTCGACTCCGCCCGTAATCTGACAGAAGCTGGAAACTCGCGTTGCGCCCCGACCTGTCCGCGACGCAGGGTGGTGCGTGCATGCGTGCATATACCCCCTCGTACCTTTTCGCGAAAGGTTCAAGGGAAGAAATACGAACGTACTTGTGTGCTACAGTATAGGGAGATTCGTGACGTTCTCGTTAGACGAGACGCGACAGCCGCAGGGCGCAGCGACTGTCAACATATCATGTCATGTCGAGAGTGAACGATCGCCATCACCTTTTAGTCATTCGTGTCCAAAATTTCACGCGAGCTCGTTGATGCCACATTGGCAGATGGCTTGCAGACTGTGTCCTTTCGCAATAAACGAATCATTATAAAAAAAAAGAAAAAAATGTCTCGAAGCCTTTGTCGTTCCTTCACCCTGTCTAGCCCTCGTTACGTACCCTTCGATCGATCATTCGATCCCCAACGACGCTGTCTCGATCTGTGAGAAGAGACTGCGAGGAACTGCTTCTACTAAGGTACACTTAGATTACACGAGAGATGAGGCGATAATTTTCTAGATAGAGTAATTCTGTCGAAGCTCACACCGCAACTAAGTCCAACGAGACGACACGTCGTTCGTTCTAAACGTTCCGACTCCTCCACGAACGAGCGAAGAGGAATGCGATCGATTATGCCGGTGGCCGGCTAATCGCGAGCGCATGCATCGAGAGTAGAGAGACAATACGCGCCAGAAGGAGTCGTCCTGCCTCGGTATCACGAAGAGGAGAGGACAGTCGGTCGGCGGCAGCATCGGCGGATGAATATGAAACGTCCTCCCGTTCTCGGAACCGGCCGTAAGATGTACTTATAAAAATGCAAAGCGACCGACTTCTGGGTGGTTGCGGGACAAGCTTGGTTATTAGTAAACATTTAAATCGACAATCGCTATAGGTATAGCCGAAGAGAGCAAGCAGCGGGGAATGCCAACCTGCTTTTGCCCTGGCTCACTGCTCTCGCTCTCTTCCCTCTGTCGCTGTCCCACTAGCGTGGCCGCTCCTTTCCTCCGTCTCGTTCTTCGTCCGGTCGGAGCGAGAAAGCAACAGCGGCAGAGAGAACCAGAGGCCAGATCGAGCGTGGTGGAGGAAACAAGAAATCAAGCCGCGGGACCACCCGCCACGGCCTTGGGGGCACCGAGCCGCGGATCCCAAGGAGGTCCATCCCGTCTTCATGAATCAACCCGGTCCTGAATCGGCATAAACCTTCAAAGGGTTGTTGTGCGGGTCCTGCCTCCGCGTGTCCCGCTCGCTAGATCCCGCAGAGTTATGTGGTGGACACCCGTGTCCATCCTTTCCGTCTCGCTCCTTCTGCTCGTTCCGCCACACTCGCTCTTCTCTGGTCTTCGCCTTTGCCTTCGCTGCTCCCTTTCTCACGAAAACTCGACGAGTAACTACTCGCTCGTGGAAAAGCCTTGAGGCCAGGATTTGAAATGTGAGATCGAATGGGTGAGTACCTGTCCATCGATACGTACTTTCATTCTCAGTAATTTAGAAATTCCTTCAACAGCGAGGAATTTCGTGGGTTTCTAGGCGATCCTCCGTTCATTCCGTTCAACGAGCGAAATCAATTTGTCGGTACACGCGATTACGCGGCCCCGCCGGGCGCGAGTAAACGTCTAATTCTAGAATTACAAAAACGTATTAATGCGGCGAACGGCATTTAAATTGCTCTGGGTAAACCCGTTTTACGCCACCGTAAAGATACCGATGCGCAAAAATGCAGGCATGCGGTTGCACGCACCGGGGGCGAAGAGGTGCAAAGGCAGCGTTTCCGCTGGACAGTGGAGGCCCCCAGTTACCAGATAAAGCCGACCCATTACCAACGTATAGTAGCTCGGCCTGTAAAATGACCGTGTCTTCGGGTACCAACGCGAGACAACACTATCTACCGTCCAACGGGGGATGCTTTTTAGTGGCATTACCCGACGAACACACGATAATCGGACCACTTATCTCGCGTGTACATCGTGGACACTGCGTGCGAACTCGGTGCGTGCAGCTACTCTGCGACGCCTATACAACAACCTGCGACCGATCTCGTCTCGCGATTCCAAACGTTCCTACAAACGTTCTGATATCTGATATCGATCGTTGTAATTTATCAAAACGAACAGCGTCTTCGTTTTAAAGACGCGAGGGGTTTTGAAACTAGAGAGCGTACAAGAGTTGACAGATTTCGGGAAGTAGCGCCAGCGTTCGCATCCGATCCGTAGCCAATAAAAATGAAGAACAGGTCGTTGGACACTGGCGTACAACTGGTGATGGTGCTGGGGTCTCGTGGGTCGTCGAGGTCCTCGAACTCTTCTCACCTTCCTTAGAGTTCCCCCGGGTGACTCTTATCCGAGAACGCTGCAAATGGGCGCAGGTTGGCACCGGTTAAACCGTCGTGGACACCACCGTCGTGGGCTCGTGAGAGTTCGCGAAGGGGGAGGGACGATAAACTATACTAAACTGCGCTCTCCGTGGCGATGCTTTATTGGCTTTTATCGAGTTTTAACGCAAGCACGCCGGATTCCTTTATGGAAACGCCGTTAATTTTACGACGCGGGCATATTTAGCCCGCGGGCTTCTCGTAAAATCATACTTCGGCCGCGATAAAGTTAAAACATCGGCAGGCTTAAAGCGAAGTTCGCCTCGTAAATATGACGGGGGTGGGCGAACGGGGTGGTGTTGGTAGCCAAGGGGGAGAGATACGTACACGATACACACACAAGACTAGGCTTGGGCGAGGAGAGTCGAGGGAAGGGCGGCTGTGTCGACGCAACGTCGGGGTGGCTCTGCTTTCACGTCGTTGTAATTAACTTATGGTAATTAACGGACTCGCGTAGGCGGGAAAAGATTTTTATTAGGCTTCCGCGTCTTTGTAACTTCTTTCTCCTTTTTTTTTTTTTTTTCTTTCTTTTTATTACGCCGGTTTAATTGAAGTCTCTACTCCGGTGTGACGCTGCGAATCCCCCGGGAGATCCACAGTCTCCATTATCGCCCGCTTTCTCTTTGAACTTGATGCGCCGCTCGGAGAAAGCGGCAGCTTGCGCGACTTATTACGAAATAAATTCGCAAGCAATCGCACAGAGAGCTTTATCGCTCGAGGTTTTTCACTAGCGCTATCTGATAAACGAACGTAGAGATCCCAAGAAGAAGTCCAAAGAGAATCACTGACATTGAAATGAATGTGAAAAAGAATCGATCGACATTGAAAAATTACGGAATTTCATTCATCGACTGTACAGGCGGCAAAATTTTATTACGAATATGTACAGGGTGGAAAGAAAAGTTTGTCCGTGTCTATCATACGTAGATGAACTCTACACCTTTGATTTGATTGATCTTGACTTTGAATCTCAAAATTCTTTTTTTTTTGGCATTGTATTTTGCTCATTACGAAGGTGAAACTTTTCCAAGAAACCGTAGGTCGCAATTTAATAGTTCTTTTGAAAAATGGTAAAAAACGTGCGTCTTAACAACGACTTTATGGTCCTGAGCGCGTGGATGTCCATTTTATTAATAATTTTCGTATTAGATTTTACTGACATTTGATTTGTCACAGTTGTAGTATCAATGGGAGTCTAAATAATCAAATGATAAAACTTATTCGAAATGTAAATGTTACATCCACGCGTCCAGAACCATAAAGTCGCTGTTAGAACGCAAACGTCTCGAGTGTTAAATGATTAAGAAGCCTTTCTGCTACTTTTCAAGAAAACTATTAGGTTACGTACCTTGGAAAAGTTTTACCTTCGTGATGTGTAGAATGCAATGCAAGAAAAAAATTTTTCTTCAAATGTATTTTCATAAAATCGAAGGTATAGAATTCATTTATGACAGCCACGGACAAACTTTTCTTTCCACCCTGTACATACGTATCATCTGTCGAGTTTTTAATGTTGTTTCGTAATCGTGCGTAAAGATCCTTTAAACGCAGCCCCGCTATAGTGGGTAGCTACATCCCGTTTCGAAATCCTTCCGGTTCGTAGAAACAACTCCCCCGTCGTAACAAAAGTTAAAGCTCTGTTTGTAGAACACGCGCAGGGTCGCCCGTGTTTTCCGCGATCGTGTACGGCCGCGCGCACTGCGTGCCGTTGTGTCGAAAGGTAGCGCGACTGTTGTGCAGAAGGTGAATAATGAATGGCAACGTCGAAACAACTTGCTGGACCAGCGTCGAGGAGACGCGAGAGCCGCCGGGCTGCGGGAGGGCGCAGTTACGGCGCGAGTTCCCGGTGAAACGACATGAAAAATTAACGGGGCCGCGTTTTGACGTCGCGTCAAAGTTTCGTTGTACGCGTGATAGATCGTCTCGGGGACCGTGTAGATTACCGAGGGAGAAGGACCCACGGAGCACGAGGTGGCGAAAGACAGCCATCCGTGACCGTCCAAACATCATTTTTTGAATTTCTCTCTTAACGATCGCTAGCCAAGTCGAATTTTTTACGAGCCTCGCTCGTTCCTTCTTACCTGTCGCTTTACCTGCGAATTTGCCCCGGACATTTGTTTCGAAGGTTTTATCGGAGCTGCGGGATCGTTCCTCTACCTGTGCGAACGACGAACTTGCGTCCATGAAAGTTTATACGATTCGTCGATTGGAGAAATTTTGTAGAGAAAATAAGATAATCGATCTCTGTCTGTTGGAGGTATTAATTCGGATCGAGAAAAATTCGAGGTTCTTCTTGTTGTTGAAATCCCTTTAAGATCGCAATAATAAAAGATAATAGAAAAAAAGAAGAAAAGATAAAAGTGTATAAATATATATCATATATATATATATATGATATAATACGAGTAATATAATAGAAATACCAAGATTAACGGTATCTCAATAGCTTATGATTCAAAAGCAAAATTTTTATCAGCATATATATATATATATATCTAAACGAATATAGAGAGATTCCAAGAAGAAATTCAAAGGCTTCAGTTCAATCACGAGCGCACAGATTCTCCGAATTGGATCGATATCGAAAAATTTTCAATACAGATTTTCACCAACAATCGGAAAATAAAATATCATCGCGAATATGCGCATACGCCGAGAGAGAATTGCACAATGCAAATAAAACGATGAAACGTTCGTTTGTTATCTTATTCCGGATTATTAAGCGCGAAAGTGACGTAACAGCATGACAAAAGAATCGTTCTGTATTCGAGGATCGGAGATTAAGTTATCGCGAATTGCATAATTGCCGAGCGATACGAGTTGCAAAGTCAGATGCAAGATTCCGGAGGACGTTGAACGTAACGCGAAATAAAGAGGCCAGATGGAAACCTTGCACGAGAGAGCAAGTTGGCGAATCTCTTCTTTCTTTTCTTTTCTTTTTTTTTTTTCTTCTCTCCTACGTCTTGCTCGACGTGAATGCCCGTGTAACAGCAGCTGAATCGGTAAAGAACACCGGGGACGTCCGCGACGATCATAATATATCGTCGACGTCTGGCTTCCCGATTTGTGGCCTCGATATCGAATGTTTGATGCGGCCGCTCCTCTTCGACGTAGGTCCCGGATGCTGCGGGACTATCTATTGTTCCTGAATAAACCATCGTATGGCCGAATACCGACGGCAGGCAGTAACTCTTCGACTTCCTGCGCGATTACACGAAAAAGTCGCGTGTCTCTTCCCTTCCATCGCCGTCTTGCTCGCCGCTACACCGGGCAAGAAGACCTCGTTCAACGATCGCATTTGCTCGCGAGGTCGCGTTTTCAGAAAACGCAAGACTTTAGAAATGTACACTTTGACGATCGATGTTTAATCCATCCTTTGCGGGTGTTTTTATTCGAAACGTTGTTTGGAATCGTCTTGAAGTACATTTTGCCCAAGGACAAGTATCGGCAAGGATATATAAGCGCAACAAAAAAGACTCGCGATCAGTTTTAGTATATATTGCGTATTGCAAAAATTTTCTACGTCAATAAATTCCGGAATGGAATTTTTTAATTATACCCTTACAACGTAACAGCGTTACTAGAAATTTGTTATATACGTCCTAAGGTACTTTGGCCAGAGACGAAAGTATAAATCGGAAAGGATATATAAGCGCAGCAAAAAGGAACTACAATCAGTATAGTACAGTACAGTAGTATTATAATTAATATATATTACAGTCAGTAACTTAATTAATTTATTTTAATAATTTAATTATCTCGAAAATAAATGATCTAAATATATATAAATATATTATTATTTTTGTTGAATAAATTAAATGTTTGTCGTATTTATTAATATAGTATTGCAGCGAATATTACAGCCAGTATTGAAATATTTCTACATCAATAAATTCCAGAGTGGAAGTTTTGTCTTATTCGAATTTGGAAAGTAATATAATTTTTAAATTATAGTCTTGCAACGTAAGACATTTGTTATATGCGGTACTACGGTTTGTCCTAAGATACTTTAACTTAGAAACCAAAGTACAAATCGAAAACGATATATAAACGCAGAAAAAAGGATCAGCCAGTATAGTACAGTACTGTAGTATTATAATTAATATATATTACATTCAGTATAATATAGTATTGCAGCGAATATTACAGCCGGTATTGCAATATTTCCACGTCAATAAGTTCCGGAGTGGAAGTCTTGTCTCGTTCGAACAAAAGTTCCATAAAATTGTGTAGTATAATTTTTTGATTCTACCCTTACGGCGTAACACCGTCGCGAGATTGCTTCGAGCTGTGGTTCTTCTTGGGAATCTCCACGAAAGTCCAAGTTTGTGCAAAAACTTCAAGCTACTGTCGTAGCTATTTATTTCTCCTCTCGAATATCAAGAGATGCCACGCTTTGGCAGAAATGTCTATTCCGGAATAGACATTTCTGCTGAGGTGAGGAAACAGAAAGAAAACAGCGTCCCGATGAAAGTAGCTGTCGGAAAAGGGGGGAGGGGGGGGGCGAAATTTCTCGGAAGCTGCAGAGGATCCGCGCGACTAAAGACCGCGCGGCCTCGGTTCGTCGCGCAATAAACCGATTGCCAGGAGAGACTAAGTAATCCCCTGGTAAGCTGGCTCGTGTATCCGCCGGGCGGAGGATTCGCTGGAAGCTCGACGGGCAGAAAGAGCGTACGGCGATATTTCATTCGGCGTACGATCCGGCGAATTCGCCCGCTCAAAGACATCAAAGGAGTGCTCGCGCGTTGCCGGATGTCCGGCTGGCTCGCGACACCGAGCCTCGCTTCTCCTTCGTCGTCGAGCGATCCAGTCGCAGGACAGAAGAGCAGCAAGAAGAAGAAGAAGAAGAAGAAGAAGAAGAAGAAGAAAACCTTGGAGACGAAAAGGAAGACGAAGAGGAGCGCAACGACTACGATGAAGGAGGAGACGAAGAAGAAGAAGAAGAAGAAGAAGAAGAAGAAGAAGAAGAGGAGGAGTGGATGGAAGAAGAAAAAGAAGAAGGAAGCTTACCGTTCAGCGAGGTACTCGAATTCGTCCGGGGCTTGTCGGCTGGCAAGTACGACATAAGTCACCTACTAAATTAGTGGGTAAAGGGCGGTGCATAATTCACCGCTGGTTAATTGGCGAGCGTTTTCACGCCAGCCGCCAGTCTGTCAAAGCGGCTACAGTTTAGAGTGGGACGAGAGTACCCACGGGCGGACTTTGCCTCCGTCGCTGCCACGGGGATCAATTTTTAAGCGGTTTTAACGGCCTGTCTTCGTGCGGAATTCCGACGGAAGCTGAATTAACTACCCGACAGCGGTCTCGCTGGTTCACGTTGTTGCGTAATCGTCGATTGTCAAGATGCTTGGCTATTTCGATGCTTGCAAGAGGAATCTATTTGTTACGCAGAAACGGAGAACTCAATCGAGAGAGACGTCGGATTGTGATTGTTATTCCAACGTCCGTCATCGGATGGTTTATTTATTAAATGTAACGATGCAAGCAGTGAGCTGTTTCACATGTCAAAAATGCTTCGCTCGTTGCAAGAGACGGTCTGAAATTATTGGATATCCAAGATACCGATCGATTGAAAAAAATCGAACCTGCACTACTACCAGCTTGCGAAGAACGAAGAAAAATCGACACAGCGCTGCGTGGATTCTTTGCACGGTCCTCTCTCGGGCTTGTTTATAAATACTGCGTCTGGAGCACGCGGCCCGGCAGAGAAGGCGCGGATCTCTCGGCACAGGCTGAATGCACCGGTGCAGAGCAGCAGGAAAAAGAAGCTGACCGAGGACCGCGTCGGACGACGTCGAACGACGCGCGAGGATGCCGCGGCGCTTCGTTAGGGACCGGCGACGATATGACTTATTTAATTGTCCGGGATGAACGTTAATGCGTCTCTCTATGTGGCTTCCTCGAATGCCTCGGGAATCAGGCTCGAAGGGAACACGGAATTTACGAGTAGTTCACCGTTGAATATATAGGGTGTTGCCAAGTTGCCGATATAATACCGAAGCAGTCTGGTTTTACAAAGTTTTTGGACGTAGGGTAAATTTTTTTGTTTCAAATGTATTACACTATAAATCGCGTCTCTAACGATCTGTCTCTTTACTTCTTTATTCAGCTCGTATATTTACCCGGTAATCCGGATCAACGAATATTCGGATTATGCTCAACTATGTATTAGGCGAGTTTCAGGAGACGAATTGGTTACACCGGCCGTCAAGCGTTTGATTTTATTACACCGTGGTGTACGTAAATTTCGGAAATTATTACGTTTACACCACGTGCACACCACCGTTATTCTCGGTGGCTCACGGGTTTACTGCTTTTTAGTCCCTACGTATTATATTATACGGGACGTTGCAGCGTTGCGAGACACTGCTGGCTGGTGAAACGTGGCATTAGAACATTCGTCGGGGATGGTTTTGGATATGAAAGACATCAATCATTATAACGACTCGAGCGCGGCGGCACCCTGTTTTGAGGCAAGCCTGACTACCGGGGGACTTTTAATCTCTTCCGAACTTTTATAAACTCCTTTCTTCCATCGACCTTCCTTCCTTCCATTACTCGAACCCTTCTGAATTTTCTGTCACCTCGCTGTTCCCGTCAACGATTACTCCAAATGCCAATGCGAAAGTACAAATTTATAGGCTCGGTGGCCCGCGATTTTTGCGAAATGTAATTTTCCGTGTGTGAATTTTCAAATTCATTTCCAATTTGGTCAGTAATTGATTTTCCTTTTCCTTATCGCGAGTATTGAACTCCCCCAGAATTTTCTGTCGCTTTGCTGTTTTCAACGATTATTCCAATTACCAGCGTATACAAAATTACAAATCTGATGGTTCACGACTGGTAATCTTTGCGAGCTACAATTTTTGCGTACATTTTCAGATTCATTTCCAGTTTGATTAAATTATAATAATTAATTTCCCTTCAGTATCAGCAAATCTCAAACCCTTCTGAATTTTCCTTGAATTACCTCGCCGTTTCTGTCAACGAACATTTCAGATACCAGTGTGGATATACAAATTTATAAACCCGGTGATTCTCGCGAACTTCGGCACGCGCTTGCAGATTCACTTTGATCCACCATCGTCAAGAGTTTTCAATCGAAAGGAAAGCTATCGCGGACACGCGACATCGGCGACTGGCGTTTGCCTTCCAAGAAGAGGATACTGCTTGGCTCGCCTTCTGCGCCGTTCCTCTTTTGATTTATTTGCCGGCGTTTGCCCGGTCGCGGTTCCCTCCGTCCCAGCGGGGCGGCCGCGGATTCGGCCTACCGGATGAAAAACTGTATTTAATTAAACGACTCGGATCGAGCCACGACGGCTCGAGTCGAACAAGAACACGAAAACTACGACGTAGAAGATGACTGGTGACTAGTCGGGGGATCGCGGGCAAAAAACACGATAGCCGCGGCCCCGATGGATGACGAATCAATCCTCTCCACGTTTCACGACCATCGATCCAGGTTACCTTGGTCGTTTCGTCCGTCAGCCAGCGAAGGATGAATCGCTTTGTGCGAGGGAGACGAACCGTCTTTGCCTTTACTACAGGTCTACAGCTTTTGGAGAACATCAATGGAGCGGAGGAACTGATTCGTCTTTCAAGAGAAACTCTCGGATTAATTTTTCCTTTCGATCGTTATTCCGAAGATTGTAGGTTGAGCCCTTGACTGGCTTAGAAATTTGTACTCTTTCGACTTCATCCTTTTCCAAATCCTTCAACGTTTTTATCTACCTGATATGGCGACCATTGTGCTGGAAGTGAAAGGTGAACAAACTGTACTTGTTCCGCGATACACGAATCTTTTGATAACTCTCTGTGACTTGACAAAGCAAAAGGAAGAAGAAAAGAAATTGTACTCTTGTTCCGTGACGCATGAATCTTTCGACACGACTCTACGACTTGACGGAGAAAGCAGAATCTGTGCCCCGAAACAGCGCAATTAACTTGGGTTAATTAACGTACTCAAACGAGTTTCGATATTCGTTCGGAGGATCGTTGCAGCGAAGGATGTTGGAATCCAAACAAAGAAGCAGAAGACGTGAGTTACAGCTGGAGAGCAATTCTAACAGACCAAGTACACGATCCATGGGATCGTTGGCCAGCGGCAGACAAGGATTGGTGACATGTGGATGCCATCGACGAAGAACAGACGCGCATCGGTTGTCACAGCACGCATTCCTGCCGGGAGAAATCGAAGAGTTCGGGTCAAGTTACGGGACGTTGTGCCTTGTAACTTGCTCAAGGAGCTTCGAAATCGTGTCGGCAAGTAACATTAGCACTGAACTCTTGACCCTTGTCTCTTTCTTCCTTCGTTCTTCCGACTTCCGAGCAACCTTCCTCGAAACTTCCAGCTTCAAATTTTCACTTTAAAGAGCCAACGTTGTCGACTTTGGACGCGTCGTAGGAATCGCGTGTAATTCGCCGATCGAAAAATTCACGATAAGGGCTGAATTCATGTGCGTGGCTGGAGCTGACAGTAAGAGGGCCAGGAAGGTATATGTGGTCAGTGGCACGTCATCCGGTGGTCACGTCTCAATCAGTGTCTGGCCAGGACGAAACGAGAGGGGGGGACACGGCCGGTGGCAAGAAGCTCCTCGAGGGCTGGCTAAACGTGCCGAATGTTAATTACGCCAGCGGGGTTCCCAGTGTTCCGCAGGGGCCCAGGTGAAAAAGTTCTCGTTCGAATCTCGCCCGACCTCCTCTCTGCCTCCAGCCACGATTATGGGACCATGGATACCACTGAGCAGAGCGATACCGAGCGGACGAAAGAAACCACGCCACCGTCCTCCTTCCACCGGCCACGTCCTCACCGCTCTCCGTGGATTAACATTCTCAAAGCAGCAGGACACCGTCGTCTAACGAGATAATTGACCGTAAAAAGCGCAATTAAAGCACCGATCCGACGTCCGTCGTCGTCTAGCTGTCGTGGCTCGTTCCTCCTTTTTCTCCTCAAATTGTCAACGAGGTAGTCCAGAGCCGATGCTAATTTTCTGACAATCTGGACTGCATCCGCCCCGCTGCGCTTCTTATTTATCGCGACGTCTGCTATTAGCCTATGCCGAGTGCGTGAAAATACTCGACGAAGAATCCCCTCCCTTACGGATTGCGTTTCCGGTGTTACGAAATTGCACTCGTTTCTCGGAAAGTAGTACCATTTATTTGGAGCGAGATAAGCATTAATAGCCAGCCGTTTGATTATTCTCGGCTATAAGCGACAAGAAGTCCACTGGCTCGAACTGGAGCATTCGAGTCGGACGAACAAAAGATCGAGCCTCGAATTCCAGAGCTGCGATCCGATCGGTCCCTAGAATATTCAGAATCAGTCATCGTGCCCTCACGATCCACCTTCTTCTTGTTGTCGCTTGCACCCTTTCCCTCCCCTCTCCGATTGCTCGAGCCATTTCCGTTCACGCGTATGTTCGACCTTTTTTTACTTTCTTCGTCAAACAAGCGCGCACGAGTACCTGAACAACGTTGTTATAAAGGTGAAATTATACTATTTTATTATTATTATTAAAAATTACACTATTTTATTCCATTAAGGCAATGTCGAATGACTAACTAACAATGCTAACAATGCTGACAATACTAACAATGCTAACACCGAGTCAGTCATAGTCTGCTTAAAGTGACGTTATTCGTAGGGCGAATTTCAGTAGTTCAGGTCATCCACGCTTCTCCCTTCCCTCCCCCTTCGATTTACCATAGACAAAAATTATGAAAAGACGAGCTGAGAAGAGCAGTGACACTCTTTCCCATCAATCTTGTAATATTGTTCTTGACTACGCAGACTAAATAAAGGAACGTAGACTAAAACCCTCTTAATCACTTGCGCTGGCAACTGATTGCGGACCATAACGAGCGACCAAATCGTATACAATAATTCGTCGCTTTCTTTTTGAACTCGTCGGTATGATATTACTGGATAAAAATTATTAAGTAATAAATTTATTACTATTTGCCTGTGTATTTGGTTATACTTAAATATATTTAAAACTGAGAAAATATTGCAATTTTGGGACAAAAAATACTCGACGTGCATAGCACGTCATTCTAGCGAAAGAGGTTAAAAGTACATGTGCAAAGTCCTTTACGCGGAATCCAACAAGACTTCCATTCCGGAACTTATGGACATAGAAAGTATTGCAATTGCCCTCATGAATGATCGCAATTTTTAGACGCGTGAGCGGTCCGTCGTTTATCCCCACCAATTTTTGGAATTTTTTTAACTATCTCCGTTCATCCATACTCTTTCTTTCGATGCCAATTCACATAATCCGCCACCCCTCTTAATTTCTTCAACATTCTCGGTCCCGACTATGAACGCTTACGAGGAAACACTACTATATCTTTGCCGATATTTATACCTTGCCTTTGGCCAAAGTGTTTCAAGATCGACTCATACCTGACCAACTCATTCCTAACGACGTAACGCGACGAGCAATACGTAAGAGATTGTAATTCGAATTCACCGCGAGATAATGGAGTCGGAGGTTGAACCGCGCGGTCTCGTTAACGTTAAAGTAGCGAGAGCGTTAGCTTTGATCGTCCGCCACGGGGATCGTAATTCAACGAGGATGCTTTTATATACCGTCGGAAGAGCCGGCTACATCCGGCGACGCTTGTTGTGACACATCCTCAACGGCACGTCGTAACATAATTAGTAATACATAGACCTCGGTGTCGGGGGTGGCTATGCAACTGACTAACAGTCGTTCTATTAATGTTCGTTTTCCACGTGCGCCACCCCGTATATATCAATGCCGCGGCACGGGCGCCGCGATTTACGGGTGGCGACGCGTTTTTTCCACCGCGTGTAACGGCGGCCGTCGATCTTCCCACCGACCTCATGCGCGCACGTATAAATAAATGACGTTTATTATGAGAGAATCGTTGCCGAATGCCGGGTGAGCACGAGCCGCGTCCTAGGTTTTGAAAGTACCGAGCCGTCAAAGTGGATTTATGATATTTTCCCACCGACCGGTGTCTCCCAACCGAGAAGAGGGTCGCCGCCTTTGATCTGCTCCGTTCCGCGACCTCTACCCGCCCGCCGATCGCCACTGTTTTTCAGCGTAATTTCGTCGTTACG